TTAAATAAAAGCTTAAAGGCATGAACATGATAATTTATTGTGACAAAAAACCGTTAAACAAAGCTTTCATTCGGGTAATGGGCGAAAGCTGAGAGCGCCCACCAACTTAAAGAGTTCCATTAAACTCGAAGAGCAAGAAGACAAACAAAAGTTTACAATCTATAATAAACTGAAGCATGCCACTGTGCCCTCGAAAAGTATGTGAAAAAAAAGTACATTCTTTCTTTCGAAAAGTGTATCTATTCCCATTTTATTCAGCAGCCAATTGTAGTCGTAATAATTTTTTTGGAGGTATTTGGTTATAAATTAAACAATGAAAACGTCTCCAAACGTTTTCAACGCGCTTAGAGTTTAAAGAATTATTTGAATTCCAGGCAGCAGAAGGTAATTTCGAATTTGAGCGGACAAAGAAATTATACAGAACAGACGGAGACGGCAGGATTTTAAACTCTTGCGTAATTATTGACAACATGCTGAGCACCTTCAATGACAAAGCCACCGCAGCATAAATGTGCATCCGGAGCGTGGAGTGCCATACACTACAAAGTCGCGTATGAAAGATGTTATTATTTCGAACATGTTGGACATGTAAGGATATGTATGTGCTATATGTTTTCGATTTAATATAATAGCGTTAGTTCCTCTTTTAATTTTAACTTTGAACCATTATTTGAGCACAACATATGGACTTCGTCGATACGAATCTGCATTTCTATGCAGTCACAGTGAGCGTCAATATTGGGAAATATTTCTACGTCATCAGCATACTGCTACAATTGAAAAACTGAACACAATCAAAAATATTCTTAGCGAAAATGCTGTACAAACGGGGACTAAGATTATGTCTTTGAGGGACTCCAGAGGTTGAAGTATAGAAGATCGACAAGGAAAAAGTTTGAGCGGGAACTTCTGAATCATTTGTTGTACCCATAAATTACGCCACATACAGACACTTTAACTAAAAGTAATTTACGGTTGACATTATGGAATGCATTTGTCATACCTTAATATACTGCATCAGATTGCCTTCAGTTGCCAATTATTGGGGGACAGAACTATATCAACTGAAAAATATTATACTCTACTCAGCGGCCCTTCAAAAGCCATGTATCGTGGAATTAATTTTGTGCTCAAAGAAGCGATACAAACACGCGAAAAAAGATAATTGTTTTTATTAGAAGGGTCTCCAGATCTAAAAACCGGTATAATAACTGTCCGTTTCCATAGAATAAAACAATAATAGTAATTGAGAAACAAATCAACACTACGCTTGAAGACTTGCAGATATACAGGAGCATGTGAAAATAAATCTCGATATGCCATTAACACCCGCGGATTGCTTTGGCTTGAGCTGCTTAAACTCACCAGTTATTTAGGATAGGTTCATATCACATGCTGCCATGCTGTCGCCTCCCATCCGCTGAGTGCGGATTGTTTCAACACCCAAGGGGTTTGAAAATAAAAACCGAAAAACCTAAAAAAAGTTTGAGCTACATCTTACGGAAAATAGGGAACATAGCCTTTCGACAAAAACCCCGAGACTGGGACAAAAAGGGACGGACAAACACAAAGTCTCAAACACAAAGTCTCAGTTTTGAAACTTTGTGTTTGTCCGTCCCTTTTTGTCCCAGTCTCGGGGTTTTTGTCGAAATGTTTAACCACCACCAGCTCGTTTGCGCCCTTACCTTTTGTTCACAACATAGCCTTCATCCCTTACAGTAATATGCTGTCGATGCTCACTCGTGTATTTCTACCTATATTGCCAGCAACACCTAGGATTCTTCCTAAGGCTTCTTTCAACACTCATTTTGTAAGTCTTGTCATCCTGTGGGCATATATTTTTCACCAAGGATCTACACGCCTTGTATTTCTCATGGCAGTACTACAAGCCACTTTGTACTGTCGGGGGTAATGAAATTTTCTAGGAGAGTTGTGCTAAAGTACTGAAGAAAACCGAAATGGAAACTTCGAAGTTGATGGTGCACTAGCGGGATCCTAGATGCGCATCCCTTCGAAAACCCCGTATATCAAATACCTTGTCGTCACATCATTGGAATTTATCTCTTTTACGATAGATGAATCGAGCGTTTCGATATATTTTTTTCACAATCCATAGTAATCTCCCCTGGCATATAGAAAAGTGGGAATAGTATTTGATCAAGGCCGAAAAAGACCTAACGGGACTGAAAGCTCAAGAGCCGGATGGCACTTGTCGACTGTGACTAGCGGGGTAGATGCGACGTAAACTTGAGGACACTGATGTTTTAAAAGACTAAATGCAGAACATTATTAGCCACATTGGGAATGCCGTTACACTCAGCTAAGTTGTTAGTACATACAAAATATAGCGAAAAAACGTATATTCCGCCATAGCTAACTAGACGAATTTACGCCGACGTTATCATTGATCCCAGCACTGCGATTACTAGGACTGGGCTATCTTTCGGTGTTTAAAAGAAAATAGCAAGCCAAGCCAACAATAGGCGTGGGGTATCTCTCGGGATTTTACGGTAGGTTAATTTATGATGTAACACATTAACAACCCTGCTCTCCTTACCTCTGTTCAGTTTCGCATTCTACTTGGAACGAACTCTAGAAATCTTAGAGTATTTTACCCAGACATCATTCAAGATGCATCACCGGTTTCACGTATCCAACATTTCTTAAACACTGAATTTACTGATATCGATTTTTTTGTAGATACTCGTCATTTGGGGAACGATAAAGTGAATGCATGTTTTAATTGATATGTAGACATGCATGTGTGATTTCATATTTTCAAGACTCTCTACTGTGATATTTTCTAAGCTTATTTGCGGTTTGAGCCCCAAGAGTTTACGCGTGTTATTTATTCTGTATTTCAAGTATGCGTGCTAAACCTAGTAGGCATTCGAACTGTTGGTTAGCACAAAAAAATAAATATTGGTTGATTGATTGAATTGATTGATTGAGTGCTCGATTGATTGATTGAAGTTCGATCAATATGCACATGCGTGAAAAATGAAAACGAGCCCATGCTACTTGGCGGAGGGCGGGAGCATATACGCATATTGGAGCGAGCGTTTCACATTAGGGAGTTTTAGCGAGTCGTGTTTCGAGCCCACGGTTCCGAAATCACGAACGGTACCGGTGGTCTGCTCCGTGAAACCGTAGGTGAAATTTGAGATATTTTAGCGAATCGTGAAACTGGCGCAGCCGTGTAAGCGATGATAATGCTTATGTTTCAACGGTGGCGCCATCTTCTATTAAACATGTGAAACATTCTGCAACGTGTAAATCCGTGGCGGCTCGTGTTTCCGGCATACAGCTGATGTAAACCAAACGGCCGACGTAACATTTTCCGGTCGGACGTGGTGTGTATCCGTCACTTTGAACTTCAACGATCGGTCACGTTGTCTGGCGTCGAACCAAATCATGTCGTCTGTTCGCGGTCGCCACGGCAGCTACTCTGCCCGCAGATCGAAAAAGTTCACTGGCATGCGCAGATTACAGTATTCACAATCGCTTACAATTGTGAGCAGATCTCGAAATGATTTGGTTCAACCTTTTAAATGAAGCAGACTAACAGGACGGCCAAATCGCCTCCCGCTGTCCTAAGCCTACCGCTCGGCATAGTGGGCGAAGTCAGTCGCCGAACCGACCGCCATATTTTTTTTTACCCGAGTCGTGAACGGTGCTGGCTGCGTTGCGGTGACGACTCCAGCGGCCGGAACCGGAGAAACGAACCAGAAGAGCCTCCCGACGCCCCGAACGACTCGGGCGCGCGTGCGCAGTGGCGTCGCCGATGCGTTCAAGGACGAACTGTTCGTGTGGAAACGACCTGATAAAACTCCCTATTATCACATTAACTGAACGGGTGAAAATGATTGGTTTTCCATTCACATCTGGTAAAATATAAAATATTAGGAATCGGGTTCCGTGTTTTCGGATAAATTCGAAAAACTCCGAAAAGCACACGCCTGTGAAATATTGTGGTAAGTCAAATTTATCCGATAAACTCCGAATTTTGACGTGCAGCAGATGCCCCTTCTCCCCTCCTCCCACCCCCCAAAAGAACGAAAAAAAAAAACGGTATTTTACAGTTAAGTTTTATCAGCGCACAAAGTTAATGGTCCTGGAAAAATGCCTCCACAATTAACTTTCGAATCTCGGGCCATTGTCAAAAGGGGTTTTACCCCTTACCTCGTGAATTTTCGGTCAGAACCACCGGTCACTGGGGTCACGGCAAAAGCCACTGTTTGGGTTTCTAGTTTCGGCCATACTATTTCTGCTTTAGAAGAAGGGGGTATTGTGTTTTTGTAACAGTCAATGCCATGGACCATAGAGATTGCATTAAATGAGGAAAAAGGGCAGTTTTAACTTCTCGATTACACCCTTTACGATTTCACCTCTCGCCACCGCGGGGTAGTTTAAGGGAGTAGGATGGGATGAATACGAGCTTCCTGATGACCACCTCTAGGAGTTTATAGATTTTAGGATATCGTCGTCTATTGAAATAACAAATCTGTGCAAATTTTGTTGTGGTAAAATTTAGTATTGCCAGTGACAATGGCACCAACGCAAAATCCAGTTGAAGAATCATGAATTGGTACAAGGGCGTTTTATTTTTTTATCCAGCGTACGTTTACACCCGGATATTATTCATTTATATATTTATTTTTATTAGAAAACACTGCGAAATTAAACTCCGAATTTCAGAAAACTTGGGAAGCAAACAAAAATATACTCCGATAAACTAAGAATATTTGGCACAAAAGAAACTCTAATACACACCCTCGGAATTTGACCAAAGATAAACGCAGACAGCACCAAACCATAAATATACTGTGCAATGTTTTTCCTAAGAATTCCAATTTTATTATGCAGAAGCCGGACAAATCTGTTGAAGAGGTCGCAATTTGTAGAAGTCTGATGAAATACTAACCTCAAGTTCAACTCGACATACTCAAGTTAGAATTCCGACAAACCGGGTGGCAACTGGCTATTGACGGCCATTGCAGGCAGAACCACAGCGAGATCGAGAAGCGGCGCCGGGACAAGATGAACATGTACATCAGCGAGATGTCGTCTCTGGTACCCATGTGCAAGGCGATGTCTCGCAAGCTGGACAAGCTCACCGTGTTGCGCATGGCTGTGCAGCACATCAAAACGCTCCGAGGTGACACTCTTCCTACATTCGCCCTTCTCTTTTCTTCCTTAACGAGCTGTGGTTATAGGACAAGTCATGGTTCACGCCATCTCTCAGACATCCGAGAAGCACTCCATATAAAATGAAGTCACTGCTTCCAAAAAGCTCGGCAAATAACAAGGTTAAAAAAAGAAATAACATTCGCCCAAACGAAGCTTTTGATGTGAAACTGAACATGTCGGCTTACAAGTTTAAGTCGTGTGCAGTGTTTAGCTGGTTCTTGGGATACATTTTGCGCGTGACAGAGCAGTCAAAGTGCGTCTGGTAGGACAAATACATTTTTTTAGACGAGTGTCCATTAATCTCTTACTCATAATAATAACTTAACAAAACTGATTTTTTTTTTTTAAATAGGAGGCCAGCATTATTAAATACGCAGGTTTAAATATCTGAGTGCTTGCGAAAAGACCCTCTACCCTCTCCGTGCTTCTCACCGTCCCCACAGGTTCCATCAACTCGTACACCGAGGGGCATTACAAACCGCCTTGGCTCACGGACGAAGAACTCAAGAATGTGATACTTGAGGTTAGGCAGTCAGCTTCGTTTCTAACTCTGTTTTCTGTGCCAAACGCTGACGCAATTGAAAGAGCACTTGGGCCCTACTTACACGATAGTCTACGAAACGAGGACAAAGGGTAACGCAGTCGATTGCCGTCCGTGTCGTTACTGTTCCTCGAGGATTGTTATCTGCAATAAAATCATCTGATGGGCTAGTTGGGTAAACATAATTAAAAAATAGCGCAAGGACGACGGAGGGAAGAACGAGAGACAGGAAAGAGCGCTAACTGACAACTGGCGTTTTATTTACAAGAGAAAAGAAAACGAAAAGAAGTGAGGCAAGTCTAAGACAAAAAAGGAGATGGAAAAAGAAGGAAGATAAAAAAAGATCGGATAGGGAACAGAAGGATGCTTTTTGTAATTATATACTAAATATTATGAAGCAAAAAAATAATAATAATAAACAAGAATTAAAAAAAGGGAAAGAAAAAGGAAAACAATACAAGAAAAAAATAAGAAAAATAATTCAGTGTCAACATAATGTGTAGGAAGGATCTTCAGGGATGAAGGCTGAGGTAAAACTGTTCTTTTTCTGATAAGGCTACTGAAGGAGCACTGACGCAGGCGTCGCCCTTGGATATTATAACGTGTGCTTCGAAGAGTTCTCTACTTCTCTTACCAGAAAACCGTTTGAGAACTTTCGTGTGCTCGAAGAGTGGGGTACACAGAGAGTCTCTTACATGCACCGCAAGATGTCCCGCGGGAGATGACCTTAACGCTAAGGCATGTTCCCTTAGCCTGACATTTAGACAACGTCCGGATTGTCCCACATATACCTTTCCACACGAAAACGGTATTTCGTACACTACACCGCTGATGCAGATGACATATTGATGTTGATGCTTTACAGTACATTTTGCGGTTTGTTCCTGCTTGTTGTTGATTTTTGGGCATAGCCTCCTTAGTTTATCACGAGCTGCCATCACAACCTGTACATCAAACTTGGATGCCGCCCGCTTCAAGTTATGGGAAATGCGGTGTATGTATGGCACTACAGCCGGTCGGCGTCCTTTGAAGTTATTTCTTGCTGGTCTTCCACTTGATGTAATCATGGATTCAGCGACATCGAACAGAATCAAATAAGGATATCCAGATGCCGTGAGTCTTTGAATTTGGGAATTAAAACTCTCACCGGCTGTATGTTCACAGGATTTCTCGAGGGACGCACTTAAACAACTCCTTACGATCCCTCTCTTGATTAGCTTTGAATGAGCAGAGTCGTATTGTAAGAGCATTTTCTTGGATCTTGGAGAGTAGATCCAGCACGCTTGATCATCAAGAAACGATAACCGAAGATCTAGAAACTGAAGAGAGGAGTTCGCCGGCAACTCATGCGTAAACTTGAGCCCCTGTGCTTGCTCTACGAAGGTGTTTCGTATGCTGTCGGTTACCTCCGTGTCATTCTCATTGTTATCTGGTCAGTCAAAATACATTGAGAGGAGCATGCATTTAAATCATGGCGTAGGACTGCCTCGAGGATCCTTCTGTATCCGAATGAATCGTACAGGTGACATGCCCCGCGATGTGTGACTTAGATAAAACGCCGTCCCAACGACGGGTTTTGCTTTCTTCCCAAGGGTCTTCCCACACAGCATATCATCCGTCCGAGTTCGGGCGCACCCAATTTCACTCCGGAAAGTGGCTCATGCAAAGCTGCCCCCAGAAGCGCTCTACCGCTAAACCGCTTTCCTTGCGCTCCATTCACGCGCGAAAATCGCCTGCCTCAACACTCGGACAGCCGTTACTATACTTGCATCTGATGAACGCCGTCGGGTAAGACGGACAATAGCATTCTCTGGTAATATAGGAAATTCTACTTTTTTAAAACCTCTAAGGTAAATGTAGTTACGAGTTCTTTTCCTATATTTATGGCGTTATGCGATAGGATAAAGGAATGGCATTAAGAACGTACCAACAGCTTAATTACTCTAAAGACAAACCCCGAGACAGCTGGAGCGTTCACGTTTGCGCAAATCACTTGGGATAGCGCTAAAATTTACGAAGCGAACTCGGCGGGGGCTAAAAATGTGCTTAGAGCATAAAAAAAAGGTCTGCATGGTGGTGATGAGCATGGCCAAACGTCAAGTTCAGTTCCAAAGCGGATACTATTTTTGAGGTCTAAACATATTTTCAGCCTCGTGGTTCGTCGAGTTGGCTCCGCAGATTTCAGCAATGGGCTTTGCGTAAATCTCTTGGACGTCGGTGGTGCCTTCTTGCGTGCTTCCCCGGTCAGCCCTCCTTGTTTCTCCCGTGAAGGCAGCTGACGGGTTCCTGTTCGTCGTGAGCTGCGACCGAGGCCGCATCCTCTTCATGTCCGAATCCGTGCAGCAGACGCTCAGCTACTCTCAGGTACGTGTGCGTCCTTCACTTCCACAAAAAAAAAAAAAAATCAACAACTGGCTGATTAAAAAGAGAAGCAAAAAAACATGAATGAATGATTGAAAATCAATCATGAATGATTGAATGAATTCCACTGTCTTGTAGATTGGGGCGGGGGTTGGCGTTATCTTCAGCATGAGTGGCGACATCTTGAGCGCCATTCCGCCTTGTAGGCTGTTGACACTTCTGTGTACTTTTTCTGTTGGCCATAAAATACTCACGGTCGTCTCTTAGTACGTCCGTGCACTTGCAGTGAAACCGTGCCCCGCAAGGTCCAGAACAATGGAGCTAGGCTGTATTCCGAAGAAAGGCTCGGAGCAGCCGCCGTACATGTGCTTGCTGCAGCCCATTCGGATGATGATAATGATAATGATGATGATGATTAAGAGAAGACTTTAATTTATTTAATAATTAATTTACGCAGGATGAATTCGGAACGACACGAGGTAGGTTCGTCAAAGCCAACAAGGGCATGTAGGACTGAACCTAAGTGCGGTGGTTAATAATGGAGATTTGAAGAATAATAAAATGAAGCATAAAAACTTCACATGGTTTCTTCAGTTGTGAAAACTACAAATGAAAAAAAATGACAGTCGGAAAATTATCGTCAAAGTCAGAGAAAAAAAATAGAAATTTAAGCTATTTTCTAGTAGAATAGAAAAAAATGAAGAGGTATGGCAAAGAATTTCCAGTTGTATAATCCCACAGCTTGATGATAGAAGGTGTCATGTACACAGATATATACTGCATTACAGTACACAAATAATGGAAGACAATTTAACTAAGCAGCGAGAGGGTTATTAAAAGGCATTGTACAACCCGAGGCGGAGGTTTACAAGGAGGGACAAACACAAACGTCTCAGTGACATTTCTGTTTGTCCCTCCTTGTAAACCTCCGTCTCGGGCTGTAGAATGCTCTACACAAATGATGTTGACTCGAATGAATATTCGTGCCAGGAAGCAACACCAATTACGATGAAACAAAAACAAAAAAAAAATATCACAAGGCTTCTTCTTTGATGAAAACGTGAAATGCCTTTTGAAGTCTCTTTATAGAAGTAATCTTAAAAAGGTTCGGTTGCAATAGGTTAAAAATCTGGGAATGTAGTGCGAACGCACAGTTTTTCCGTAGCCGGTGTAGCATATTGCAGTGAGGAACCTTAAAGCCTTCCGCCGGTTTCGTGATATGGGGCGAGGAGACATAAAGGCGTCATTCCAGTTGTATTGGAGCGCAACTGTTTCAGATATAAGGATTGAAAATTCGGCACTGATAGCATTTCAGAAAAAGATCTAAATCTGAGATGCGCGGTTACACCCCACGCTTCTCAATGTTCCCTTCCAGACACTGTTGATATTTCTTGCCATGGTTTGGGGCATTTACCGAAAATATTTATGCCCCACCGCAAATGGATATAGGTCCAATTGCGCTGTTATCTTCGTGCAAATAAAAAACAAAAATAGGGAAAACTGTGTCAAACTGGCCGGTCTCTCCGGCGAAAAGTGAATCCGGTGGCTGTACCTTTTTTACTATACAAAATTCGTACTGGTGTAGGCCTTTAGCGACCATGAGTGGAAGTCTGAAATAATAAATAAAAACGTGCTCTCCTGCCGCAACACACGCAGTAGTTGAGGGTAGTACTGCCGGCTGACTCAACTGCTATTTAAGTAACAAAAAAAAGATATGTCAGTTGATCATTTACCGAAATAGAACAACAGAAAGTTCTAGGCTGATTTTGTAGTAGCCATAACTATTCTAAGAACGCGAACCACTTCACAACGGCAGCCACGAGCGAGAGTTCGATGTTCCGTACAGCCCGCCGGTACAGCCCAAAGATGGAGAATGGCAACCTCCTGGTTTGTCGTCTGCTAGCGGAGTCGGGCGCGTGCCCTCTCCCTCGTTTTACCCCGCCGAACCCGCTGAATTTCTCGGATGTATGGAGAGGGCGCTGCTGTCGAACAAAATGGTGCCGCCCAGGGAGCGCTAAATGGAATGGTCGTCGACGGCGGCGGTGGCGTAGCTGCGCGCGTTGTATTATAGGATGTCACAGACCTATATACCTTAATCTCTCGCTAAATTTAGCAAAGTAACTGAATTGGCGTGGAGGTTTCTGACGTTCCATAATGCAACATGGCGCATTTTGATTCCCCGCTAAATTTATCGGTAAAACTGACGTCACATGACCTCGCGTGACGGTCTTAATTTTTGTGTAATGAGTGATATAGTTACACTATATCATCCATAGTTACACTAGAGTTGCAATTTTTCGTTTTTTCTTGTTTTGTTTCTTTTGGTTTCGTATTCACAGTTTTGGTCATATATTGTTTAAAATTGTTTTCAATATGAATAATATGTTTAAGCATCGTGTGTGCTCACATGGCCGCTTCTGCTGGAGCTTTCGTGGTGCTGGGAACCAGTGGAGTAAGGAATTCACCCTTACTCCACTGGCGATTCACTGCAGAAACCTTTTTTATTTATATTCAACGGGGCGTCTTCCTTCTACCCTGGCCAGACTGGCTAATTTAGTTCCACCTTAAGCGAGCGCACTCAGCCCCTAGTGTCACTCGTGCGACGCCACACGGTTACTTTTTATGTCACTCACCGAAGAACACACTCGACATCGAGCGTGTTCAGTGTTCAGCGATGCAGGAGACTGTGTGTGTAGCCTCAAAAGCAGTCTTTCCGCAGTAAATAAAAACCTAATAAAAAACAATAAAGATTGATTAAAATAATTATTTTTTTAGAAAAGTACTATTAGATATGCGCTTGTTGTATTTCAACAAATTATTATATCGGGAAATACAAATGGCTAACCTAGCTCTCAACCTTTTCGGCAGACACATTGCACTTGATGGCACTACAACGCTCGACGGGCATTTTTGTTTATCAAAGACGAGCCGAACAGGTACCGCTTGAGCGCGAAACCGTGAACTTCGTATTGTGGTATGGCGTCGGCCGCAGCGCCGCGAAGCCCAAGCCGCCCATGGTACAAGCAGGATACCTTTGCCATGATCAGACTGTGGGAAAATCACCTGCAAGACCTCCGTAGCGCGAAGGTCTTCCAGGTCTGGTTATAATATCTGCTTCGTACTTGTCTCGGCTCGTGATGGCTCTATATATTCATGAAATTGTCGTAGTGCTTTCTAATTAACGCAACAATGTCTGACAACATATTTTTAATAAGGATACAAAAAGGTTATTGAGAAATCTGCGCGTATATTTCAGTTATCTTCGTGTTGTTTTTTTAACTTTACTCATCGTCATTGACATAATTTCCAAGTGGCACTAAATTTTTCCATGTAGCTCGAAAGCACATGAAGTGATATTCGATGCGCTGAAGTGCAATCCCCTGAAGAGACACTTTAAAAGAGTCCGTCTAAAAGGGAAATCACTGTTTTAATATGTAACAAAAAGCATAGTTTCTATAATAAGTCGCCTATTACATTTTTTTTAAACTCGCTTGTTCTTAAACCAGTTTGCACCCGTTACATTTTCGGACATATTTTTATAGCTACTAGTTTTGTGGCTTTTTTGTAATAACCGTTTTATTCTTTAAAATGCCATCACAAAAAAAATAACCAGTCCGCTCAAAAAAAAAAAAAGAAAAAAGCGCCCGAATGAAAGTTGTACACAACCCCTTGTTCACAAAAAACCGTTCGGCCTGTATCCAGTCTCGGTTTTCTTGCTTATGACATTAGTTCACCGGCTCGCCTGAGTGTTTCACTTTCGACGTAGGACTAACTGTATGACAAAGAAAGCGTGCATGTTTAGCATCGTTGTCGGTGCGCTGCCAGCTTGCCTACTGGCAGATGACTGAGGTGAATAGCCTTCTGTAGACCACAAATTTTGATTAGCATGGTACGTGATCGAAGTCGAGCGGTAGTGGGCGTTTTCGAAGAAATGGCTCTCAGCCTAGATAAACGACTTCATCTTTTGCGATCCACGGCATGCGGCAGCGTCACTCCGAAGCAGAACCGCCTGAAAAGTCGCCAAAACAAACAAACAGGATTCTTTTTTTTTTCCGGCGTGAGTTTTGGTGTTGGCAACAGGCACCAAATCCAGTGGATGTTCCGGCTTGTGCGTGTGCATTTTGCGTTCGGAAAGACTTGGTCGCACGTGTAGCGCATGCCCGGCAGAAGGCGACAAGCACAGGTTGGAGGCGGAACTTCTACTGGGTCCTTACCAGGTCACCGGCTATAGTACTAATAAGCTGGACTCTTAGAGAGGCGTAGGCGGGGCGTACTCGAACCTGAATGGTGCGTCGTCGCGATAATGTTCGCCTAAACATGTATGTTCGAGGAATTTAGCTTTGTGAAACACGTGACCTATCTCTGCAATTAAAATTTTGTTTGGGAGGCAGGCCCAAAACGTTTCCGTTCCTGCCTCCGTCTTCTTCGTGGCATTGACTAATAAAATCTCAATGATGATCATGCTTTGAATAGCCTTGTCATTACTTTCTTTATTGGCCATGATTCCAAGATACCTTTTTGGGCAGGGCGACCTCTTGGGCCAAAGCTGGTTCGACATTCTTCACCCAAAGGACATAGCCAAGGTCAAGGAGCAGCTGTCCTCGTCAGACCTGTCCCCCAAGGAGCGACTCATCGACGCCAAGAGTGAGTCCTTCCTTGTCCAACCATAGACTGGTTTAGTCTGGGACCCACCGGGGGCAACACATCCTTAAAGGGGCAATGCAACGAGTTTTGTATTTTGCGCTAATACCGCTTAGAACGGATCCCTGACGTTAATGACCTGTGAAATACCCGTTCGTTTTTCACCACACGCAATCGAAGTCGAAAAAAAAAATAAAGAAAAACAAGCAGAGTTCACCCCCTCAACTCGCCGTCAGAACAAGCGGCCACGTGATCTGGAGCCGATTATATGCCGCCAATGTTGATCATAGCCATGCGCTGGGGTTTGCAAGGCACAGGACACGCGCCGAGTTCAAAACATTGTTATGGCTCGGCTATTGTCGTTGTTGCAGCGATTGGACGCAGGACACTACCCGAATGCTCATCGAGCTATCGACTATCACGAGCCCACATCGAGTGTCCACGCCATGCTTGGGTCTAATCGATGAGCCGCATTCAAAAATCGTCACTGGGCGGTAGTGCTACCACCCAGCTACGTCATCAGGTTTTGCGAAGGAGAGATTGAATGAAAATGGTCACTTTTGTCCTTGAAATTACTCCGAAACAAAGGAATTTCTTGGCCAGTGGCGTTGCGTGCGAGTATCCTTTAGTCCCACTAGTGTCAGTAAGCTCGTGTAAAGTGAATAAAAGACATTCCAATTGAATGTCCTTGCACCGCCCCTTTAAGCCGTGTAATGTTCCAGCTCGAACCCGCGTTCAATCAGTAAAGACAGGAGTTCCCACTCAAAGCTGCACTCGTGTTCTATCTGTGCCTCGCACTTGCTTTCTTTGGCTGACTTCGAAATGTAAGCATTATGGCTTTCTTGTCTAAATGAAAACTATGTATTTGGCTTGTTGGTTCATTTTGATCTAAAGCGCGGATAGTCCGTGTTGTATGTGTTTCTTTCAGGTCCATGTTTTTAGTGCTATAAGTCCTCTAGTTTCTTGTCTAAGCGGTGCCTCCACGACCCGCCACATCAGTGCTCGGACATTCTCTGCCGCCGCTCTCGCACCTTAGAACGAGGGATGTCGTGAAACTGCCAAGGTTACAGTTTTTCGATCTTTCAACGCAGAAAAAAAAACAGCTGGCACCGCCCGGTGGAGAAGGGGTTCGGCATTAGAATAAAATATATTATGGCATGCTCATGCACAGTGAAACTGAGGAAGACGAAAAGACGAGAGCGCGCGGGAATGTCAGAACTCCGCGTTCCGATTGGAATGATTAGTGCGTAGAGGTAACTCTAGTTGCCTTTGTCTCTACAAACTCTTCGAAGATGTTTGAAGGTGAACGCGGAATGCTGGACGCCGGCGTTTGGCAATTTGACGGGTTTGTATTGGGAGTAGAGACAAGGAGAGCTAGCTTTGGGTCTCCCCACTAATCATTCCCACCAGAGCTCGGCGTTCTCACGTCCCTACACTCCCGTAGTTTTTCTTCACGTATGCTTGTTTTCATGTCATGTAGACACTGGTAACATTACGAAAATAAATTTTAGACAGCATATTTATTTAAAAAGATTCCTAAAATGTCGACATTTTAGTAGTCGGGTAACTCTGTTAAAGTTGTCGAACGAACTATAGAATGACCCATAGCGGACCATACAGAGGGCAATAGACGGCTAAAGACACCATAGGAAAAGCCAGGAGTTGCTATGGCACGCTGGCTAAAAAGACCCGCACAATAAGCCATAGAGATCTGTATAGCAGACCATACATGAATATATTGATGGTTGAAAAAAAACATCGAAAAAGCCATAAGCAACAATAGAACTCTGGCTAAAGAAACCCATATAGTAAGACATAGAAATCTATGTAACAAACCATACAGGGAACTATAAATGGATAAAAAAAAAACACAAAAAAATAGGGGGTTATAGCAAGCTGGCTAAAGAGGCCCATAGGGTTTTCAATAAAAATCTCCATAGAAGACTTAACAAAAAGCTATAGATGACAGGGGAAACCATTAAAACTCCATAGAAAACTAGTAGCACTCTGGTTAAAAAAGACACATTAAGAAAGCCATAAGAACTCTAGAAAGCTATACAAAAAGCAATAGAGGACCAAAGAAAGCATAAAAAAGCCATAGGCAGCAATAGAACTCTAGCAAAAAGACCCATATAGCAAGACATGGAAATCTCTGTAACGGACCACATAAAAAACTCTAGATGGCCAAAGAAACCATAAGAAAAGTCATAGGCCAGTATAGCAAGCTTGCTAAAAAGACCGATAGGGTAAGCAATACTAATCTCTATAGCAGACCATGCGACAAGATATACATGACAAAATAAACCATAAAACAAGCCATAGACAGCTACACCACGCTGGCTAAAGAGACCCATTAAGAAAGCCACAGGAAACTTTATATCAGAATACACAAAACTTTTTAGAGGACAAAAAAAAAACATAAAAAAGCCACAGGCACCTATAACACGCTCGCTAAAGGGACCCAGATAGAAAGCCCTAGTAGTCTCTATTGCAGACCACACAAAAAGATGTAGACAGCTAAAGAAACCACCAGAGAAGCCATAAGCTGCTGTAGCGCCCTTTCTAAAGAGACCCCTAGTGTAAACCATACAAAATTATATAGCTATCCATTGAAGGAGCGATATATAGTTGTAGCAAACTAGTGATAAGCCATAGATAATGCTTTAGATACCCTTAGCAGAGATCATAGAAGAAACTATATACAGCCCGAGAAGCGGCTATATCTAATTAGGCTAATTTTCCATAGCCGGCCATACAAAGGATTATTGATAGCCAAACATAGACTATCTTTTGTATGGGTATACTTCTTACATGGGCCTTCGTAGACTTGTTTACATGCGCACGAATTATGGCACACCGGGAACACAAAAAAACGTTCCCCGGCATTTTATCTGTAGTGGGAAGCACGGCAACACATAGAGTATTCAAATTTTAAGTAGAGTCACATATTCGGAAATGCAATACCAGCATTTGCTCGTGACGGGATGTCCTGAAGTTACATTAGAAAAGCAAAACCGCAACTTGGGCCAAAGGTTTTCCAAGATGCTTGGCACGGCACTACGCTATTAGGATCAATTCCATTTTGCAAGAGTTTTAGTGGAAGTTTTAGAGATCGTTCCGACACCTCCGTTAACTACAGCCGACAACGATACCCTGCACGCGCAAAGGCGTCGGCGGAGTGTCGGGTATTGTTATCGGTGTCATCAAAACGATCTACAGAAACTCCCTAATGAGCTTTGACACTTTAAAAGATATTGACTCACGAACATAATTGCTGGTGTACTTGTGTTCTTGTGATACCATTCCACCACCCAAACCAGCAGTGTCACAAACTCAGGATGTGGCAAACGGAGTAGAGGCTTCAACTGCACCTCCCTGCCCCCCCCCCCCCCCATCCTTTTCATATAAAATCTACAGGTTCATACTATGGTCCGAATTAAAAAAAAAACAACTAAGAATGGGCTTTATATTAATTCAGAAGCAGAGTGACCAGTTGCTCTGGTCCCTGTCTGGATACCCCAAAAAAGATTCAGGAACACATATACTAAGGTTATGAAAATTCTGAAATCCAAATACAAATACTGGGATACATTTGGCTTTTATGTGACGGGATAGCCCTGAGATACTTGCGAAAAAAAAAAGAAGAAAATCTCGATACAGTATTCCGGAACACAAAGATACATAAAGATATATTTTTACCGACGAGTTGTAGGGGCGGAGGTTGCAGTTTTTGGCGAGTACAAATGGTAGGGCTAATATAACTCTCTTTATGCAAGTTTAGGCACCTCCTTTACACCAATCTCTTAATCTATTCACAGCTACCATCCCGAAGGCCACCAAAGACTATTGTCGCCCCCAGTGACCCAAATAGGTACTGGAAACCAAGGACGGTGTGCCATGCATGAGAAAAGGCGTCTGCCCGAAATGAACCTTTTTTTGCCGGGAAGCTGTGTTTCAATTTGAGGTACCTTCACGTCAAAACAGGTTCCTCACAAGGGCTTATTCCGCAATTCTTGCAAAAAGCCGTTCTTAGAGCCACCTTTCTTTTGTTTTTTGCATTTTTCAATTTTTTATAATTTTAATTTTGGTGACTGTGACATATTCCAGACTACTAGGCTTGCCCCACGTATAGACGCTTGTGAGGTGGGGGCAATTTAAACATTCCGGGAGTTTCGGACCAGAAGTGTGGGTTATTATAGAAAACCGACAGTTAATTTTCGACAACAAATGACATCCCCAAGCCTGGCAGAGCATGCAAATCGATTCATTACATCGCAAATATATTTCATTGCTCAAATACAAATATATTTTTTCAAAATTATCTTGATGCAAAGATACAGATACTCTACACTATCTCTAAGATTCTTTCGCGACAAATTTATATCGTGATACTGTCTCGCCTTGCCTGTCCGAAACTTGAATATATGGTACACAGCCTTTGGCAATGATCGGACATTTGAACGAACACTGAAATTGTCTCTTCTCAGCACCAATGACCCTGCGCTTTACGTAAAACTTTTTCTGTTTGATTCGGATTCAGTGTGCTAGTTTTCAGCGCTGGTTCGGTTCCGGTTCAGGCAAGTTCATAGGATATCGGTTCGCTTATCGGTTGTGCCAAGATCGAAACGGTTTGTATCTTCGTCTTTGATGATATCTTGGCCACCAGTGCACTTCCTACGGGTTTTCATTGAGTGTGCGATACTTTGTGAAACTCGACATAAAAATGTTTCCATCACACCGAATTAACACCACACGATGAGGAAACCATTTATCTAAAACTTTTTTCTCATAAAATGTGAACTAAGCTAGGCCACCACAGATGGCAAGCTCAAGCGCACTGTTAATGTAATAGTGCCGGTTTTAAACACACTAATATATTTTCACAGTTTAGGCGCAAATTTTTTGGTGGCATACCATATATTTTTTTTTTTCCGTTAATATTAGAAACTCGGTAAAACGAACTAAAAATTCGGCAAGAAATCTAGCAAAAGCTTGACAGCAAA